CCTTCTAGTGTATTTTTCTTTTCAGTTATTGTGTTGTTCATCTCTGTTTGTTCTTTAAATCTTCTATCTCTTTGTTAAACATTTCTTTTATCTTCTCAGTCTGTGCTTCCATTCTTTTTTCAAGATTTTGGATCATCTTTACTATCATCATTCTGAATTCTTTTTCAGGTAGCTTGCCTATCTTCTCTTCATTTAGTTGTTCTTGTAGGTTTTTATCTTTCTCCTTTATCTGCAACATATTTCCTTATCATCTCATTTTGTCTAACTTACTGTGTTTATGGTCTCCTTTCTGCAGGCTGCAGGATCGTAGTTCCTCTTGCTTCTGGTGTCTGCCCCCTGGTGGGTGAGGTTAGTCCAGGGGCTTGTGCAGACTTCTAGTGGGAGGAACTGGTGCCTGCCCTCTGGTGGGTGGAGCTGGGTCTTGTCCCTCTGTTGCGCAGTTCCCTATCAGGGTATGTGGTTTTTTTTGTTTTTTTTTTTTGAGGTACGTGGGCCTCTCACTATTGTGGCCTCTCCAGTTGCGGAGCACAGGCTCCGAATGCACAGGCTCAGCAGCCATGGCTCATGGGCCCAGCTGCTCCATGGCATGTGGGATCCTCCTGGACTGGGGCATGAACCCGTGTCCCCTGCATCGGCAGATGGACTCTCAACCACTGCGCCACCAGGGAAGCCCAGGGTATGTGCTTTGGGGTGGCTGTGAGCATAATACTTTAGGCAGCCTATCTGCTGATGGGTGGGGCTGTGTTCCTGTCTTGCTGGTTGTTGGGCCTGAGGAGTTCCAGCACTGCAGCCTGAAGCTGTTGGGTGGGGTCAGGTCTTGGTGCTGAAACGGGGTCCTCCGGGAGCGCTCATGTCAATTACTATTCCCTGGGGCCTCTGCTCCCAGTGTCCTTGCCCCCGCTGTGAGCTGCAGCCCACCCACACTTCCCCCAGGAGGCCCTGCAAGGCCCGAAGGTAGGTCTAGCCCAGGTTCCTGTGGAGGCACTGCCTTGTGCTGGGTCCCAGTGCACGTGAGACCTTGTGTGCACCTCCCAGAGTGGAGTCTCTGTCTCTCCCAGCCCTGAGGAGCTCCTGCACTCAAGCCCCGTTGGCCTTCAAGGCTAAATGCTCTGGGCGTTCTTCTTCCTGATGCCAGACCCTCAGACTGTCTTGGAGGACTATTTTTAAGTGGCAACGATGCTGTGTAGCCTGCATGGGTTTAATTTTTTTCTTTTTCTTTTTCTTTTTTTTTTTGGTGCAAGGGCTGTTTTTAGTATGGATGTCTGCCCTCACTTTCTTCAGTGTATGCTGGCCTTTATCCCCTTGACAGGGGTTTTGATTGGTGGTGTGGTGACCAGAGCCTACACTGGGTATTGAGCAGGGCCTCCCGTTTGCTCTGTGGTTGTCACTGCCCTGTCAGAGGTGTAGTCTGCTCCCTAGTTGTTGCAGTAGAGGCCCCCAGATCTGTTTCCTAGCTGTGTTTCTGATCTGCGGTGTGAGGTATGTGCGATTGGAGCACTCCCACTGCGAGAGAAGCCACTGAGTATTCCTCCTTTGGAGTTGTTCACCTGTGGGTGTGCTCTGTTGTGTCGCCTTTCACCTGTTGTGTCAGCTCTCAGATTACACTGTTGTTGGCACTGCTGTCTGCTCCACCTTGTCTGTGGGTGTGCCAGCAGTTGGCCCTGGTGTCTCTCGAGCATTGTTTACACCAGTCCACCAGCATAGATCCACTGAAGTCAGGTTCCAGAATTGCAGTAATCATGGATCTGGACCCACTGTGGGAGTTATGATGCAGCTCAGAATCCGGCCTGGCCCAACCCCGGCATGTATGTGCCCACAAAGTCCATAGCTGTGAAAGCAAGACCGGTCTCAGTTGCAGGAGCACTTGTTGTCCGTTCAGATGTTCCGCAGGCACTGAGTTTACCAAGCCAGTTGTGGTGGGGTTTAATCCAAGGTTAGTGGCTGCGAGGAGAGATTTCGGCTCTTCTTCCTTAGTCACACAGCCCCTGGGGCTCAGCTTTGGTTTCCGCCACACCTCTGCGTGTGGACTACCCTCAGGTGTCTGCTCCCTGCACAGGCAAGAGGGGTGGAGGTGGCGACCGACTGGGGCTCATGTGCCCACTCAGGTGGGAGGGAGAGGAGGCGGCTACGGAATGAGGCACACGAACCTGCTCTGGTGGGAGCCCCTCCTAGTGCCTGCAGAGGCAGGGGCCGGCCCCTGGGGAGAGAGGCCGGAATGGCGACCCCGCCCTTCGCGCGTCACTCAACAATGGCCCTTTGTTTGTACGGTGGACCAGGCTTCCTCCGGGAGCTTTCCTTGTTGCAGAGCTCCTCTCTCCTTTCCCCTCAGGCTGTCTCTGCACAGCCAACAGCAGTCCTGTCCCAAGGTTTGCTCTCCAAACCCCATGTTGCAGCACCCAGCCCCTGTCCATACCTCTCAGGCTGGATCGTGCAGCGCTGTGGCATGACCATCTGTGTAGGTCTCACTCTGTCCTGCCTGCCACAAACTGGGTGCTCTGCTCTCCTCAGGGCCCCCAAAGCTCCCCTTCTGTCTCAGCTGACCTCTTCCGCAGTGAGGGGCTTCCCCGGGTGCGGGAAGCTCTCCGCTCCTTCAGCTTCCCGACAGGGGCACAGGTCCTGCCCTACTTCCTCTTTTCTTTTTTTTTCCTTTTCTCTCTTTCGTTCTGCCCAGTTACACATGGATCTTTCCTTGTCCTTTTAGGTTTCCCAGGCCCTCTGCTTGTGCTCAACAGGTGCTCTGTGAGAATTTCCATCTGTCAACATACTCTTCATGTGCCTGTGGGAAGAGGTGAACTCCACGGCCTGCTACTCTGCCTTCTTGACTCAGCCCCCCCTGTAGTTCTGACAGATGCATAATGTCATTTATCCACCACCATAGTATCATACACAATAGTTGCACTTCCCTAAAAATTCCCTGTGCTTCACCTGTTCGGTCCTCTTCCCCCAGCTCCCAAACACCGGCAGCCATTGGTCTTTTCACTGTTTCTGTAGTTTTGCCTTTTCCAGAATGTCGTATAGTTGGAATCATATAGTGTGGAGTCTTTTCAGATTGGCTTGGCTGCACCTCTTTTTAATTTTTTTGAGAGTTCATTGATGCATAACATTGAATTAGTTATACATGTACAACATAATGATTTGATGTAGGTATATATCGTAAAATGATTACCTCAATAAAGTTAGCATTCATCACTGCACATAGTTACAAATTCTGTGTGTTTGTGTAATGAGAACTTTTAAGATAATCTCTTAGCAACTTTCAAATATACAATACGGTATTGTTTCCTACAGTCACCGTGCTGTATGTGATGTCTCCAGGACTTATTTATTTTATAACTAGAAGTGACTACCATTTGCCCACCTCCACCCCCTGCCTCCGGAAACCACCCAGATTGGCTTCCTTTACTTAGTAACCAGCACTTGAGATTTCTCCATGTCTTTTTGTGGCTTGATGGCTCTTTCTTTTATCGCTAAATAATACTCCGTGGTATGAATGTATCGTAGCTTGTTTATCCATTCACCTATTGGAGGACATTTGGTTGCTTCCAATTTGGGGCAATTATGAATTAGGTTTTAAGTTAGTAGAAAGCATGTGACTCTGCTAATACAGCTCTCTAACTGCTCGCCCAGCACAGACTAGTACTAGAGTCATCTGCACACGGTGGTTCTACTCTTCTCTGCAGATTTCAGATTAGCTCTTTGACGCTTTTCATGATTATGTATCGAGGAATAAATAGACCTTAAATTCTGAGCCTAATATTTCTTCATAAGCTAGCACATTCAGGATAAAAGCAGCCAAGACAATTAAAAGATCCTTTGAGGAAATACGGAGGGTACTAAGGATGTTTTGACTGAAGCAGGAGAACTCAGAGACCCTGCCAAGCATCTTCAACACTGCCAAGACATCATAGGGAAGGGGGCTGTCCCTTGTTCTGTGGGACCATGAGAAGCATGTGTAAAAGCATGATGGGTTCAGGTTTTGAGAGGGTGCGGGGATCCCCACCCATGCTGTTGTAAATATTTCCCCATCTCTCGTCAAGGAGCACGAGTGAGTAGCCATCTGACAATCTAGTCTCAAAATATCCCATTCCCGCTGAATCCCTAAATACACCCCACATAAACTTTATTCCAAAGTTTGTCAATCAAGAAATCTTCTGGGGCTTCCCTGGTGGCGCAGTGGTTGAGAGTCCGCCTGCCGATGCAGGGGACACGGGTTCATACCCCGGTCCAGGAAGATCCCACATGCCGCGGAGCGGCTGGGCCCGTGAGCCATGGCCGCTGAGCCTGCGCATCCGGAGCCTGTGCTCCTCAACGGGAGAAGCCACAACAGTGAGAGGCCTGCGTACCCAAAAAAAAAAAAAAAAGAAATCTTCTGAATAGAAACATTCTAAAACAATATTGAAATTGAAGCCAATAACCCATGTATTTACCTGTATCTCAAATGTCACGAGATACCCTTGAAGCTGATTTAAGTTGATTTTTTAAGTTGATTCTTAAAACCTGTAAAAGAGAACATTCACTATACTGGGGAGTATGGTCTCACCTGTGAGAAGGCGGCCCTTGCTTCTCTCTGGGCCCACATGTTTTGGTATCCAGAGCATTATCTGTGTCCTCCTAACTTCAGTTCAGAATTCCTCCTGCAGTTTTCATCTGAAGCGAAGCCTTCAGGCGGACCCCGGTGCTTTTCACTAAGCGCTCTGCGGACCTGTGTGCGGCTCTTTCCGTTGCAGCCCAGAGGCCCCTGCCGTGCACACGCTGTCTGATGCCGAGGTCCTTCGCGTCCAGTGAGCCTCTTCTTCAGTTGACTCCCAGCCAGGGCCCGGTGCCTACAACTCCTGAGAAACATTCCTGGCTCTCCTCTGAAACTAAGTTGCTCAGGGCCTTAGTTTCATGCCTGAATCTCACTTCATTTACCAAGACCCCAATGTTCTGCTATTCTTCCTGATATTCTTAAACTCGATTTACCTTATTGCCCCCTCTTTGCTTCTCTATTATTTTTATAGAAGCAGACATCAGGCACTGAGAAAACTGCCGTTCTTCCATGATGTTCTTGTGGATGGATGTCCTGGTCTGAAGATCTGAGCCCCATTCTTTTTCTGATGCCAGTGTAATCTCATTGTGGCTGAAGCCTGGCTCTGGGTTAGGAAATAGTTTTCCATATTTAAGAACAGTGCCCCCGGGACATGCCTCGACTTTATGAACTCAGCCAGAGCTCCTCATATGAGAGTCATAAAGGCCGTTTTGACTCAAACCTATATTTCTCTGGGCTTTAAGGGAGGACTACATAAACTTTAACTTGGCTGTGCAGGTCAGGAAAGTAAATGTCATCGCAAGCCTCCATTTAGAATCAGACTTTATATTTACACCCTCTCTGTCAGAGTAAAGTACATAGACGCAGCAAGCCATGCTTACAGTGCAATCAGTTTAATGGGTTTCTACATTCTAATAAAATAGCAAACGTTGGCAGCGTCACATTTTCTGACTTACACCTGTCAACGTGAATGCATCACAGTGTTACCCTCTAGCTTCACGTTAGAACTTTATTGCATCATTTCACACAAACCCCCAAACCCTTTATTTGTTCAGTCAGTTGTGCCAACATAATCGAGAGAGAGAAGCAGACAGAAAACACAAGGCTGGCCTCGGTGTGACTCTGAAAGTAGTGGCCATTTAACCCCACACCACGCCTGTGTTTTTTTGGAAATTCCCCAAAGTGGTAGACTAGGGAGCCTGACAGAGGGGATTCCAGAGTTTGTCCTGAATGGGACAGTCCCTCGTTTGCTCGGCAGGCTGGAGCACACGTCCTGGGAAAGCCGCACCGGGGGCCCTGGGAGACCCTCCCAACCTCAGCAAAGATGTAGAGGCTGTGACGTCCTAGGAGCCATGAGATAGTTAGAACATAGGGTTTGTGCCAGAATTCCCCAAGGCAGTGGCTACAGAGTTACCTTTGAGACTGATCCTCTCCTCTGAAAATGGGATACGAAGGCACTGCGTTTTGTAAACAATTTCCAGGTTTCAAGGTCTCTGAAAAGTCCACGTCCTAAGCCTCTAAGTTTGTATGCACAGCCCACCCCTTGGGCACCTGCTGATGCACCGTCCCTGCTCTCGGGGAACCGGGGCTGGCGCTTCGCAGGTTAAGATATTTTCCACGTCAGTGCTGTTCACAGCTCGGGAAGGTGTTTGTTACCACCGAAAGCTGCAGAAATAAAACGCCAGTTAACAAGGATTAAGCTCACCTTAATACCAGAGGAACCTGAGGAGATGGGCTCCTTCAGCCTATTTTCTCCTCAAGCAGACAGCTTTTTCAAACCATCACAGATGGATGTGCATTTTCTTCTCAAACGTACCCTAAACCCAGAAGGCCACGCTCCAGCATTTTTCTCAAATCACTTTTTTTGAATGAAATCTTTTCTCTTGTATTTGAAGCCATTTGTTCTTCCTCAGTTCTCTGTAAGCACTTAAACATGCTGACTAGGACTTCCCTGAAAAACTCATTTGTCAGCAGACTCTGATGTGCACTTGGTGGTTAAAGACCACATATCTCCAAGAGCAGGGCCCCGTGTGGCTGACCCTATAGCCCCCGTGCTTTTCCTTCTTTAGCTCTGTTCACTCCTGCCATCCCCACCTTGCACGGAGATCTCTGAGATTTTGAGTGTAAAGTGCATTTCCTCGTACATCTCACAAAGGTGAGAGTGTATTTTCTAGTACCTTTATTATAATTTTCCATAGTCATGGAAACATTGATTTACATCTTTTAAAGCAGTAGCAAACCTAATTCTTGGATGTTTCTTTTCAAAATGTGAATGAAGAGTTTGATTCAATAATCAACCCACAAATGTGCTTGGAGATTCTGCTCTGGGAAAGGCATCATTTTCTTGAAATGAGAAAATATTGAAAAATGTTAAGTGCACCATAAAATTCACTGTTTAATTCAATGTTTAGATAATCTGGATATGACATGACTAAAGAATAATTCCCAGAGCTACTTCTGTGCCTCTTTACTAGAGACAGAATGTTGTTTAGTGGTGTAACGTGAGACTCACCAAGGCACTGAGAAAGCAGAGGGTCTGCTTCCAGCTTTGTCTCCAAACAGAAAATTACTTTTCACATCAGTGTTGGAGTAAGTAGCTTGTGGTGCCCTTCCTTTGGGTCATTAAATCATTAGTGAGCAATAATGCATCACTGGAAAACTGGCAAAAAGCCTTTCAGGACAGTCTTATGTTGTTGGAAGAGATCCTTTGATAGGCCATGGGGTGAGACCCAAGGGGGGCTCAGGTAACAACACTGGCCTGCCATCGGCCTCTGGGGAGGTAGGTCTGGGCCTCCACTCTTCTCTGTTCCTTCCCAAGCCGCGCTTAGCCTTCTCCTCTAGAAAAGTGCTGGACAAAGCCAACACCCATTTCAGGGACACCAATAGGAGAGCTGTGCTGAGCACCCACTTTAAGTTTTTTCACTGTCAGTGGCATCGGGGTGAGGCTCTCAGTGTCTGGAGGGGCGGGAACCTAGGAAGCTGTGTCCTTTGCAGAGTTCTGTCTCAGTGAGGCTACGCTGGGCTTGAGTATATCACCTTACGTTTGTAGGTCTGTAAAAAGTCCTGTATTTGAATTGATAGAGGTACACTTAAATCTTCCCATAGACACAGTGGTGTAATGTTAGGGTACGTATTTGGCCAACGGCATCACACAAACTAGTTTTAGTAGACATGCAGGTAATTATGGTTATTCACTCCTTCTTCATAAACAAGACCGTGTTATTAAGGAAACATGCCGGAACACAGTTCTAGAAACTTTCCATTTTGTTTTTCCAGAATTGTGCAAGCCAGAATGGCATTCCAGCGCCTCTGTTTTTCCATTTTCTATCACCACTGATTATTTTTAAAAGCTGCAAGTTTACTCCCCATTCCTCAACAGAGGCAGACGCCTGCCTCTTACCGTTTCTGCCTGGAAGTGGGGTTTAAGACACTGTCGGAATATCTACTAACTTCCTTGCCCCAGTCAGTGCACCAGCACCCGTCCCCACCAAACATCTGTGCTGGAGCATCAGGAGAGATACCAGCTGCCTCTTCCAGAATCATCAGACTGCACTCACAAACACAAATGGGGAGTATTGTCACTACAACCTTTGCCCCTAAAAGACTGCGATGCCTTCTGAGGCGGAGGCCACTGTCTGTGTATCTTTCTATCCCCCAGGCTTGACACAAAGCTGGTGTTCAATTAAAGTTTTCAAAATGAGCGAATGAAAGAATGAGGGAGATATTTGACAGAAAAGGCTCTGCAAATGTAGCTTACCTACAGTGGAGAGTTTACCTCATCCAGCCCACATGTCCTTACCACGAGTGGCAACAGCAAGCACCAGACTTCAGGGAATAGCCAATTAGAAAGCCGCTAATGGAAGGAACGGAGCTCTGGGTGGGTGGACATCATGGTACCAAGGCAAGGTATGTTTCTGCCCCGACCCAGGTAGATGCTAACCACTGAAATCGGGTCAAGACGCAAGAAGCTACCAGACCAAAAGCTGCCTAGCTTGCCTGAGTGGCAAGGGAGGGAAGCATGAGGAGTATAGAAGTACTGAGAAAATATTCCAGTATTTTGAATTTTTGCCCAGAGTCCTCTTGCCAGCGGGAGGAAGGTGGATGTGCAGCGTGCCTTGTCCCGTGTAAAGTCAGGGGTTCATGGGGGGGGGGGGGCTCGAGAACACTTTGCAAGGCAGGCACGCAGGCCTCTGAGGCCACTGCACACCAAAGTGTTCAATGCGATTTTAGCTCCCGATAATTCAGCTTTGTTCTCACATAGGTCCAAAATCACTTTTTTAAAAACAATGGATTGTAGGACTACACCAATAGAAAAATGACAAATTCCCATATTAAGTCACACCTGTACTATGACATGTGGCCAACGGGGCCCTCGGAGCAGGATTGCAAATTACAGGAAAGCATTTGTGCGGCACCTCCTCCCCAGCATCCTGCGCCCCTGTCCTGCTTCCCCATCACATCGTCTTCGCCCCCCGCCCCAGGGGTGGGTGCTGCCCTCCATGACGGAAGCCTCCTCTCAGCCACGCAGGATGGTTACTGCTCTGCTTGGGTCTCCTCTCCCTGAGCCCGTGGATCTCAAGCAGTTGTTAGGGAGAAAGAACGCTCATACTTCTAATTGATTTGTTCACGTTGAGGTGGTAACTGCAGGTTTAGACTTACTGGCAAGGCATTCGCATTTATGAAATGTCTACCCTTCGATGAATTCCTGACTTAGCACAAGGTGTTGGGGGGATGTTTCCAGAGGAGAAGGTTTCCCAAGCCCAGGCCTTTTTCTCACATACAAGGGCAAAAGTCAGCACTTTAGGTTGGAAGGCTGTGGAAAGGAATCTGAACTCGGTAGAATCTGGACTATTTCCTCAGTCACTGAACTCTGAACTTGGTTTACTTTCTTCCCTTATGACGGCAGCTCTGAACTTTACTCAGCCTTCAATTTAAGAACCAAAAAGCAAGAGGAGTCACTGACCTCAAAGAAGTGATCTTGAATTTCTCTCGTAGGAGGGGTAGACTGTTACATGTTGTATAACCATAGCTCATAAAACAAGAAATGGCTTGAATTACATCACAATATTATAGGATAAGTGGCTAGAAGACATTTTATATTCTTAATTAGGTTCTGTCTGGTTGCGCACATTCACCACTTTTTCAGAACATTTTTGGTGGCCAAAGAGAATGGAATTGTTGTTTGTGTATCAGGCAACTTAGTGCTTGGAAGATAACCCCAAATAAAAGAAGAAACAATCATAGATAAAAGTTTTTAGCTATGACCTAGACCAGTTCTTTGCTCAAAAAAGGTAAAAAGTTTTGGGAAGATGGAATTATGAAGTTGCCTGAAAAATGGCAGAAGGTAGTGGAACAAAAGGGTAAAATAACTTGTTCAATAAAGTTCTTGGTGAAAATGAAAAAAAAAAAGTTTTTAGCTATGAATCAACTATGGAAAAACTGCCTAAGTTGAGAGGTGGAATTCAAATAAGAAGGAAGGAAATATTTTCAATGAACTCAGCCCATTAAAAAGTATACCGCTATGGAGGCAAGAGGATTCTAATCCTAACACATTCTGTCATGCCTCTGCCTGGTTCCACCTCATACATAAACACCATTGACCAAAAACATTCAAGTGGTTGAAGATGGATCATAACGTTCAGTCTTATTTTCTGTTTTTACACCCATTTTTTTCAAACAATTTTGCTTCCGTATGTTGTTTTCCATTATTCCAAGGCAAAATTTTAATTTAGAACCCCTTGATTAATTTCAAGGGACCAGCTTTTGCCCTGGATTTTCTACAACTTCCTGTGAAATAGCTACTCTCGTTTTATCTTCAGTCCACTCACCTTGTATAACCACGCCTCTTTCTGATAGCAACAGTGGTAGAATCCTTTCCCAAGGCGAGTGCTTGGCTTACTGAGCTATTTCACCTACTTCTTATCCACTTCTTCAGTCTTTTCTGAACCATGTGCCAACAAGACCTTCTGCCCCTGGATACCTATTTCCTAATCGTACATTCGTTTTCCTTCTCTTCAAGGCCTCTTAGTGTCTCTTGCCCCAAATCCAGTGGGATTTACCACTCGGTCACCTAAAGAGCCCCTGTGCTGCCATTTCTCCATCTCTCTTACCACATCATAACTCAAACACAGCTCTCCAATCCTTCTACCTGGAACGCTCCATCCCTTCCAGCTCTGGCTCCCGCTCTCCTGCTCAAACAAAAGCCCCAAGCTCTAGCACCACTCACACCAGTCCACTGAGTATGGCTTCCCTCGTACGACCCACCTGGAAAGGAACAGCACAGGCATCGTGCTGACCGGCCTCTGGACCTAGACATGCCTTCTGGCTCTTCTCCAGGCATTGACATACCACCTCTTACATCAGCTGGGCAACTCCTGGGGGCTCTTCAGGTAATGAGACTCTCACATCTGGGGGCTTGTCTAACTTTAGTAACCCTCCTCCTTTCCTGCAACACATCCTTACTGTAGTGTCAGTGGAGTGGGGAGTACTGTATTGTATTCTGGGGGGTGTGGACCCTAACAGTGAAATGCCTGACCAGGACTCAGTCTACTGGGAAAGCAGTGATCTGAAGACCAGCAGTCCCACTTCCTCTTGACCTGTAAAAAAGGGGTGCTGGTCAAGGGAAACTCTCCTGGCTCCTCAAACCACTGATTCCAGTTTTGCCTTCCTTTACTTAAAATTCCTGTTTCAACTTCTTTGGGCTTGATGCTCTACATTGCTACATACACAGCCTCCCTTTGTCTGGGATATGGTCTCTGATTCACCTTTGCTTTAGGCCTTTATTTACTGGCCAGCCCTTCCCCAGTGTGACTCCTAGAACAGAGGCTGGAGCCCTGGGATTCCTCTTACTTTCAAGGGAGCTTGGAACCTTCAGCCACCCCAGAGCTGAGCCTGTGCTCAGCACCTGCAGAGAAAGTCACTTTCCACGGGCCTCTCCTTACTCACACCAAGACAGTTCTAATTCAACTGTGCTTAATACACTGAGCCAAATTAATCCCGACCGTGCCTCACATTTCTTGGTGTCTTTAGTGTCACATGGCTTAGGTCTCCTTTCTTAGTGTAAACCTGTAGTCACCTCCTCTATTTGTAGTCTGATCGCCTTATCGCTCTTCATTCATAGGCTCACTCATTCATTCATTCATCCTGCAAATAGTCACTAGTGCCTACT